TGCGCCACCACGGCCCTGCTTCTCCAAGGGTTCTTAGAGGGAAACCACGAGATATCACTTACCGTTTGCTCCAACCCCAGCTGTTCTTTATGCTTGATGGAGAGCCACAGGTAGCAGGGGAAATTAACCCACAGTGTTCCTCAGCGAGACCACAGTCACAGCCCGGATTAGACCTCTTGTGGGAAGTGGCACTGTGTCATTGCCTGCTCTATCCCAGTCAGTTAATGACACTTCTCCCAGAGTGCCCAGATTTGTCTAGTAATTTACACATCACTCCCCTATGATGGCTAAAGAAACTTAATGTGGCACCAGGTATCCCTTAAAGGTGGTTGACCTTTGCCCTGGAATACCTGAGAGACCATAGTGCAGGTGAGGTAAGCATAGGGTAATGGTGTTCCTGCTATGAGGTATTTAACCTATTGCTTTCTGCTTATCTCTGTGGGGCTGGGATAAAGTGGTCTTGTTATTACTATACAAGAGGAAAGAGAAACAAGTGAGGGGGATAAGACAGTTTTCTTGCCAGCCGTGGCTTCTCTCGATAAATTGTAATGTCCACCTTTGATGTCCATCTTTGTAAACCCTCCCTTTAGCCCCCTGAGGCATGGCATGCTATTTGGCTTAAAGGCCACCTTCCCTGTGGTGTCACAACCTGCTGCCTGGGAAACAGTGTAACAGTGGAGAATACTAAGGAAGCCTGCATCATCCCAGGGGAGCCTCTGAGATGATGGACACTTGGGCTGCCTTGGTGGATGTAGCATTAACCCTTGTTCTCATACTTCTTCCTTCAGTAAGAGTAAATTCATTCAATATAAATTTGAAGTAAGTCTTTGCTCTTTTCTGGTGGAGTCCAATGCCACAACAGTCTCAACACAGAGGATTCAGTTGTTGTTGAGTCTGCCTGCCTGCCTGGTGCTTTCCTCATCCGTGTTGTGGTCGATCGGGCTGTGTGCTTAGTAGCTGACTGGTATTTATAGACAAGATGAGAGGAGGTTGCCATGGCACCGTCAGTTCTCCAGTGGACCTGCTGCTTCCTTGTTTAGAGGGTTTGTGCCTGTCCTGCCCTCAGGGACATGTACACCGACACTCACACATCCAGCTGCAAAGGAATTCAGCTTAAGAAGTGACAGAAAGAACTTTCATTTTTCTCTCCTGACTGTAAAGATGGGAGCCCTCCGGCTTGGATTTAGGTCACCATGGCTAGCAAGCTTGCCTCAAGAGCAGTGTAAGAGGTGAGGAAACATCTTTGAAAGAGTCTGGACTGACAGCTGTGGAGCAGCTGTCTCCATCTGGGTGACATGATGAGTACAAGTGCAGAATGAGGAGCGACACTGGCTGGCTCGGATGGTTGCTTAAGATGGGTTTCCATCTGGGAAGCTGAGAATGTCCTAGTCACTGGAATGGGAAAGCAGAACCATGCCACCAAAAAGCTAAAGAGCAGAAGGATCATCTCAGATCTGAACAAATCTAGGCCCAAGGAAGAAGGAGAGAGCCAGTACCATGGAAGCAAGAGCTCAGGAAATGAGCAGGAGGAGCCAACAATAAGGGTAGCTTGGTGAAGATGTTGCTAGGATACAGTAGGGGTCGCACCTGGATTTCTGTTACTAGGATCGCCAGCAGAGAGCAGGGCCAGCTCTCGGTCTAAAGACTGGAACGGATCTTATTAATAAAGGACAAACATTTTATAGACACTGCCACAGCACTCTTAAGGTCCAATAAAGCCTTTGTTCCTTCCTGTCATACATAACCCATGGGCACCCACCTCCATTGTAATTGAGGGCTCCAGGGTGTTGCCTAAGAGAAAATCTGGAGTTCAGTGCCAGGCTTAATGAACGTCTTCCTCACTTTGTTCTGGTGAGGGCCTGAGTTTGCCCCTAATTATAAGGGTCTGGTGCCTTCATATCAATTCTCTTGCCAGTCAGATTAGTGGTGTTTAGAGTGCGATGCTGCTCTAGTGGCTCTAGGGGGCAGCGTTCAACCCAATATAAACAGCCCGTCCTGGCCCTGTGCTTCGGAGGTGCCTTTTCCTGCAATCTTGACTCCTGTGCTGTGCCCTGGGTGAGCCAAGCCTGGGTGTCCCTCTTCCCAGAGGCATTGGCCACTGCCACATCCATCTCAGGGACAGCTTCTGAGAGCTCAGCTCCAGTGGGATTCAGGTCCCAAAGAGGAGGCATGGAGTCGGTGAGGGAAGGCGACTGACTTGATCTGAGGGTGAATCAAGATTTATTTGCCCATTTATTGAAAATAGGCAACACTTTTATATTCTGTAATTGCTTATAGTTTAACCACACAGCAATGTTGAATGTGTACTTAATGATTCCGGGATGAAAGCAGTCATCAGTGTCATTGCAGCATTTTTCTTGAAGCAAAATAACAGTAAGTTTAACGGGGTGGTGGTGGCGCACGCCTTTAGTCCCAGTACTCGTGAGGCAGAGGCAGGAGGATCTCTGTGAGTTCGAGGCCAGCCTGGTCTACAGAGCAAGTTCCAGGACAGCCAGGACAGTTATATAGAGAGACCCTGGCTAGAAAAACTACAACCAACCAACCAACCAAACAAACAATCAACCAAACAACCAAAAACAGTTTAGCAAGCATCTAAATGCCCATTGTCCTCTAAGGCCAGTAACCCCGCCAGGTGCCCTCTTACTCTTCCTGTACAGTGTCAGCCCTTGTCAGGAGCTGTCAGACATTGAGTCCTGAGAAACAAACCCATAAGAACAATTTCATTCTTCAAGGGGCATGGTGCAGCCTTTGTACCATGTGGTACAGGCATTGAGCTGTTTCCTCATTGTGCCTTAGTCTGACGACCCGGATCTGTTCCCCTTGTAAGCTGGCGAAGGGGAAGGCCCTGACACCTTACTCTTTTCCCTTACACCACACCATTCTGATTCATTCCGTGTGTGCTCCTGTATGTGGCAGAGGGGGGTCAAGCCAGAACCTGCTCCCTGTGGGGCAGGCCACATCTTGCCATTCATCCAGTAAGCCACTCTAATCTTGGGTTGTAGTTTACACTCGGTAACTGAACTCTTGCCCTAAATGGCCTTAGGCTGTGACTCTGACCTGATTGTTTCTCTAGACTGTGTGTTTTTCACCCACAGGACCAGGTATGCCCAGGTAGTAAGTCCTTTAACTTCTCTATTCCTGGTGGAGTGGGCGGCAAGGATAATGGGGAGTCCTCTATGGGGAGTAAGCAGAGTGATCATGCTGTATGGTTCTGGGGTGGTAGTGATTGTGTGCCAAAGAATTAATTTTGTTACAGAGATTGCCATTGTTTGTTTATATTCTCATCCCTTGCCAAAGTGCACACAAAATCCCCAAAGGAAAAGGATGAGGAAGAAAAGGATGAGGAGGAAAAGGATGAGGGGGAAAAGGGTGAGGGGGAAAAGGGTGAGGAGGAAAAGGGTGAGGAGGAAAAGGGTGAGGGGGAAAAGGGTGAGGAGGAAAAGGGTGAGGAGGAAAAGGGTGAGGGGGAAAAGGGTGAGGAGGAAAAGGGTGAGGAGGAAAAGGATGAGGGGGAAAAGGGTGAGGAGGGAAAGGGTGAGGAGGGAAAGGGTGAGGGGGAAAAGGGTGAGGGGGAAAAGGGTGAGG